AAGCACCCGCTAGACACAGCTTCCCACAGTCACCATGCTCCTTAAGTTTACCCTCTGCCTCAGATGTCATTCCCAAGGGAGAGAAGGAGAAGGGGAAGGAGGAGAAGCCATGAAAGACTTAACCTTTCCCAAAAAAGAGATGAAGGTTTTTTTAAAAATACCTCTTTTAAACAGGAAGAGCTGCAGCTATTCCTTTAAATAATCAGTTTAGATTTTTCTACCACTATTTGGAGTTGTTGAGTGTAATGAGACAAGTTGTGTACTTTTAAATTTACTTTTCTTCTCACAAATGAGTTTTAATGTATAAATTTCAACCTATCTACAGATACCAAGGAAGAGTGATTTCAGTTTAATATTACCAGTGCCTTCCCAGGAGGTAGAGGTGGGGCTCTGGGATTTAGAGAAGTCAGGGGATAGAAGGGGAAAGTTCTAAGGGAAGCGAGCAGCTTCCAGCAAAAGGGCACAAGTCCAGAGCCTGAAAATTGATGACCAACAAGAAACCTGCTGTGGTAGGGAGCTGCCCCCAAATGACCACAACGGTGTGCCCAGGGAGGAGGTTGGAGCAAGAGATGACATCGACTCCTTGGTACACGTAAGCACACACTTGCATCTCTTCTCTGTTCAGGAATTCTCGGAGATTCTGGTGATAACACTGAACCACTTGACTTCCTGCAGTTATATGGACACTTGAAACTACTTAAATAATTACAAAGGAAAGGATCCCTTGGAAAATGAAGAACGTGCAAACATTTATAGTACACATTAATACAATGGGTTTCTTCTGTTTCCACATCACACTTAATTCTGTGTATGGCTTTCCAATATAGATTGAATGATCCCTAATGGCAGGAAGCATAATTGTGGCCCCAGAGCCTAGCACAGGGCTTAAAGCAAAATAGATTAAAAGCAGATTTTTTAAAAAAGCAGATAAACAGATGCACACACATAAGGTCCAAAGTAGAAATATTGAGGTCAGAATGCCCTCTGGTGGATGAGCTAGGTAGTGATCCCAATGACCTGGGAAGCTAAGGTGGGAGGATCACTTGAGGTCAGGAGTTTGAGACCAGCCTGGGCAACCTAGAAAGAGCTGTCTCTACAAAAGATTTTTTAAACTGCTGGGTGTGGTGGCATGCATCTGTAGTCTCAGCAACTCAAGAGGCTGAGGCAGGAGGATCACTTGAGCCCAGGATTTTGAAGTTGTAGTGAGCCATGATTGTGTCACTACACTAGAGCCTGGCCAACAGAGCTAGACCCCATCTCTCTCTCTCTCTTTAACTTAAAATTTTTTTATTTTAAAGATGTGGAGGTACAATTCAGGATTAGGTATACAAATGTTCATTATGCAGGTACCCTTGTTGATGAGGTGTGCCCCCCACCCGAACTCATCTCTTTAAAAAAAATGAGAGGAGAAAATAGTTAAATAAATAAAGAAATTCCCAGAATTAAAGGATAGATGACCATTAATGTTTTACAGTAAGAGAAAGAAAAATCAACTTTAGATATAATATAGCAAATTTTTAAAATTTCAAAGATATAAAATTCTAAAAGATGCCAGCATGAAAAACTGAGTTTTTTTTCTTATATCTATATATTTGAAAGGGTGTCTTTCTATGCTGCCTAAGTGGTCTCAAACCCCTGGGTTCAAGCAATCCTCCTACCTTGGCCTGCCAAAGGGCTGGGATTACAGGCATTAGCCACCACATCCAGTCATATTTTCTTCCAACTGTGACACTGGATTGGGGAAAAAAAAATCAAAACAAAACATTGGGATGATATTTAAAATATTAAAGAAAAAAATTCAAACTTAGAATTTAATACACAGCTAAATTTTATTCAAAAGTGATGGCATAGTAAAAATATTCTCAGTCAGGCATAGTGGTGAGTATCTGTAGTCCCAGCTAGTTAGTGGGCCTCAGCCTCCTTACTAGCCCAGGAATTTGAGACTAGTCTGAGCAACTGTGAGAGTCTATTTAAAAAAAAAATTCTCACGTATGTAAGGCTTCAGAAGGTTTGCCATACAAATACCCACAGTTAAATCAGTTTTGGAGGAAATATTCTAATCAGAGAAAAAATTTCATGAGGTACTAAAAAGGCATAGGAAGTGATATTGACCAAACATATTGGCTGAGGAGAAAGCATATGAAAAAATTTGAAAACGTGTTAAAATTCCTATCTAGTTTAGGGAAGATATAAATAACACTTTTTAAAAAAGACAATGAAGACTAATAAAGAAAACTTGAAAACCAGAAGTATTGAAATAAATGAGGTATTAGAAAAAAGTTCAAATACATTAATACAATAAATGCAGTTGGAATGGGGCAAAGACAGTGCCATGTGCTCACCAAACCATTACATCCTCTTGCACACATAGTAGAATCCTTTATTCTATCCCCGGTGCACATTCGTGGGGTCATTGTTTACTTCTTGCTAACAGAACGTGAGCAGAGGTGGCAGGTAGCTTCTGATCCAAAGCCATAGAACAGACGTGCCTTCCCCAGGCTCACTCTCCTGTCTGCACAGCTGGAAGTGAAATTCTTTTCAGTAGTGGAGAGTCAAGGTAGAGCTAGCCTGGGCTGAAGCCATTTGTGGCAGAGAGCTCCACAGTGTCCAACCTGCCCTGGACTGCATATGGGTAAAAAATAAACCTCTGTTTTGTTAAACCACCGAGCCTTTGGTGTTTATTGCAGAAACAAGTGTGCTCACTTTGGCTAATATATAGATTGAAGACAGAATTAGAAGACAGAGGTTGTCAGATTGAATCAAAAGCAAAATGTATCTTGATGACATTTACAAGGGCTATATCTAAAGCATAAGTTCATGGGAAGAGTAAGAACAAAAGAGAAGAAAAAGACATAGCAAGAAAACACCCAAAGATAACTGTGGAGCATTAGTATCAGACGAGACAAAGTGCAACAGAAAGGTTGTCAGGACAAATCGGGAAAAGGCTCAGTTCATCAAGATCATAATAATTTCAAAGAATAAGCACCTGATAAACTCAATGCACAGAGGAAAAATTGGATTGAAAAAACAGAAACAAATTGAAAAACCTACAGTCATAATTAGAGATTTAAATATACAACTCTTAGTTATTTATGGGTCATTCCCCAAATAAGGAAAACTATACTAGATTAGAATAACAAAATCAACACGCTTGAGCTTGATCCAGTAAACGTGTACATGTATTAAATTCTGTGTCAAATTCATCAGCACACATGTAAAATATTTACAAAGACTGACTACGCTCCAAACCATAAAGTAAGGGTCAATTAACTTCTAAGAAGATGTATCATACTGACAAAGTTCTTGAATTATCATACAATTACATTTTAAGTTCATTGCAAAAAAAGTCATATATTAAAAAAATCTCTTTGTATTTTGAAATTAAAAAAAAAACCATCACCCACTTGTTAGTCAACAAAGAAGCAACATTCTTTATCATGTTTTTCGTGACTTGCCTGTCTATTGTCCTATCATCCCACGGTACTACTTGAGAAGAGACAATGGCTGTGAGTGACCTCACCAGGGCAGGATGAAAGCAGTGAAGAGATCACTCATTCATGCACAGATATCTACCCAGCACCCACTATGCTCTAGGTGTTATTCTAGACACTGGGGAACGGAAACAAAAACAACTGAGATTAGGGTTCCCTGTAAACTGTGCCACCCAACCCATTACTTGCTATAATTTGGTTAATTTGAAGTCAGAAGCTGTGTCTGCTCCACTCAGTGTAGAAATCCCTTATTCACAGGGGAAAGAACATCGGAACAGTTTTTACCAGAATACTGCCCAAGAATCACCCAGGAAGCATGCTGAAAACACAGGTTCCCCGGTCCTACCTTGGAAAGGCTAATCAAACTCATTAGGTCTAGATAGAACCCGGGAAGACGTATTCTTAAACTAACTCCCCGGGATTATTCTCATTTGGAACCACAGACCCAGATGATTTACTAGATCCCTTCCAAGTTGAAAATCATCTAACTTGTGTTGGTTAGATTTCGCTTTACCTGGATAGACAGCTTTATATTGTTTACATTAACCTAAATTCTTCCAGTGCCTTCCATCGGCCAAACCCACCTGGAAGCCAAAGGCAAGGGTGATCAGGCCACAGGGATCAGCCTGTGGGCGGCTTGGAAAAGATGCTGAGGGGGGGCCCTGGAGGGACCAATGGAAAGGACCGGCACTTCTGCTCTCCTTAGAACGGTCCGCAGAAGCGCCTTACCCTCTTCTTTAGACTAAACACCTCCAACAATTTTACACTGTTTTTAGACAATGTAATAAAATAATATTTTTGAAAAGGATGTAACACTGTTTTGCTTTTTAAAATATTTTTTAGAGTCAGGGGTCTGTTCTGTTCCCCAGGCTGGAGTGACACGATCATAGGTTACTATAGCCTCAAAGTCTGACTCAAAAATAAAAATGCTGGTGTACATGTAGTCCTAGCTACTTGGGAAGCGGAGGCAGGTGGATCGTTTGAGCCCAGGAGTTCGAGGCTGCAGTGAGCTATGATCATGCCACTGTACGCCAGTCTGGACGACAGAGTAGACCCCAGATCTGCTGAGATTACAGGTGTGAGCCACTGCACTTGGCCTAAAGTTTTAGGGGACTTTTATTCTACTGTGCACCCAATGTTTTCCTTTTAAAGTTTCTTAGTAAATTTTATTTCATTGTCTAAGTCCAAGTTTGTCCACAGAAACTTAAAGGAAAAGTAGGATTCCCTACATCACGGATCAAGACAGAGGATTTGTTCAAGCTCAACTGTGTGGTGTTCTAAAAGCCTTTTTTCTCCCTTCAGAGGGTCTCTTCTTGGAAGATGTAGTAACAGTTGATCCAAGCCCCTCCTACCCTCCAAAACAGAAACTCTCCTGTGGGTCCAGTGAATCCTGCTACCTTCTCACCCAGGCTGTTTGCCTCTTTACCCAGCAACAGATACAATGACTAAGAGAACTTCTCTGATTGGCTGGAGATAGCAGGGTCTCCCCCATCCTAGAATCTGTTTTCTTCCTCTTTACCTCCGCCTTGTTCCTTACCTCTGCCTGTACCTCACCACACTGCCCAGACTTACTTGGTTAACGCACCAGAGGGCAATGGCCCTCAGAGCGGGGCTGGTCCTGGGACTCCACACCCTGATGACCTTCCTGAGCCCCCAGGAAACAGGGGCCATCAAGGGTGAGTGCTGAGGTCAACAAGGAGGGGCAGGGGAGCAGAGATTTAGGGAGCTGGGTTAAATGAGGGGGTGGCATGGAGGGTGACTGTTCTGCTCCCTCTCTGGTTTATGGGCAACTTCCTTTACCAAGAGACCCCCAGATCTCCCTTACCTCAGTCACGTTCATTCTGGACCTAAATATAGGTGCAGCCCAGTCCAGCCCTGCCAATGTCTCATTCAGTCTTTCTTCATGTTCAGATTCCTCCCCATTGCTTTCTCCTTTGTGAGATGCAAACCTCCTCCCTACGGGTGCCCAGCACTCTGAATTCCCTACACCTCCTGGCCTGGAGTGTGCTCCTTCAAGTCTAGCTCTATTGCAGCATTTATGCCCATGTCAGTAGTTAGCTGTTTACCTTTGTCTCTCTAGACTTGAGCTCCTGGTATGCAGTTCCACAGCTGGTTCATCTTTTTTTCTTCTATGGTCCTTGCCTGGCATTGTGCTGAGTACATGGTGGTCCTCTGATGACTGTTAAACAAATAACTTTATAGACTTCTACAGAAACCTTACCAGTTAAGACCTAACCCCCAATTTCCAGAAAACTGGCTTTCAGTTATGGAAGGTCTCTTATAACGTTCAGTTATAATGATCTGAGATTAAAAAGTTAGGATGCGAACCTGACCTTTGACTCTCTGTCCAGTGCTTGTTCCAATGCCTCGGGCTGCCTTTTTCTATCCCCTTGGTCTCTGGGTCAAAGCTTATTTCTTACTCCTGCCAGTTGTGGCCTGTTTTCCCTCACACCCACCTGCATAGCATCTTTTGGGACACTCCTACTCTCCTGTCCTTGATCATTTCCTCCTCATCCTACCCCAGACCCCACAGCTCACACACAGCCAGAGCAGATGATCTCAGTTGAAGTTTGAGTTCTGGAATTTCAAGCACGATTTTAGGCAGCTTCTGCTCTTCCCAGCCTGATGTGCTAGACTGCTCCTGTCTCTGTGCTGATCATGGTGTGATGAGATGTGCCTCTTTCCCTTCACCCTCTCCCTTCCACCCTCTGAGGGGCCAGCTCAGTATCAGAACAGGTCTCTGTCCCCACACAGAGCCCAGGATGGGGCCCAGACCTAACATATCAGATTTCCTAGATGAGGCTGATACATGTTCTTCTCTCTCCTCAGCCCTGAATTCACCCAACACAGCTGACCACATGGGCTCCTATGGACCAGCCTTCTATCAGTCTTACGGTGCCTCAGGCCAGTTCACCCATGAATTTGATGGGGAACAGCTGTTCACTGTGGACCTGAAGAAAAGTGAGGCCATGTGGCGTCTGCCTGAGTTTGGCGACTTCGCCCGCTTTGATCCACAGAGTGGGCTGGCCAGCATCGCCGTGATCAAAGCCCATCTGGATGTCCTGGTGGAACGCTCCAACCGCACAAGAGCCACCAATGGTATCTGGCCCTCCTCTGTCCACGCAGTCAGGTGGGGAGGACCAGAGAAGCTTCCTCCCACCTCCCAGGGCTCCATCACTCTGGCACATGCTCTCTCAGAGTCCGTGCTGTTGGGTTCAACCTGTTTCTTTCCCAGGAGGCCCTAGAACTTCCAGACCCTTTCAGAATCCTCTTGCTTCTTGAAGGATGACCCCTTTCACCTGGACTCCCACCGAGGGGCCAGTCATGTATAGGAAATCCTGGTGTCCCCCCTCCCTATACAGTCTCTCCTCCCTTTTTCCTGTGCCAGTATTCACCGTGCCAGAGCATTCCTTGCCCACAGATGGCTAAATAGGGGGAAACATTCCCTAGCCCCAGTCCTAGTGAGGCCCAGCTATAAGGGATGAGCCTCTGAGACTCAGGCCCTCACTCGTTCCTTCTAGTGCCTCCAAGAGTGATGGTGCTCCCCAAGTCTCGGGTGGAGCTGGGCCAGCCCAACATCCTCATCTGCATCGTGGACAACATCTTCCCCCCTGTGATCAATATCACCTGGCTGCGCAATGGTCAACCAATCACCGAGGGAGTGGCCCAGACCAGCTTCTATTCCCAGCCTGACCATTCATTCCGCAAGTTCCACTATCTGACCTTCATACCCTCAGCTGAGGACGTCTATGACTGCCAGGTGGAGCACTGGGGCCTGGATGAGCCACTCCTCAGGCACTGGGGTATGCAGCCCTCTCCCCAGCCCACCCTCCCACCTCCATGTTTCCTTTGCTCTAGAAACCCTTCCCTGTACCCCCAACCTCTTCCTTTCTCTCCCAGAGCCCCAGCTGCCTACCCCACCGGCAGACTCCACGGAGACCCTGGTCTGTGCCCTGGGCCTGGCCATCGGCCTGGTGGGCTTCCTCGTGGGCACCATCCTCATCATCAGAGGAACATGCGTGTCCCATGCCCCCAGGTGCAGGGGCCCTGGGAGTCTGGGAGGTTGGGGAGGAAAGTGATGACTCTGAGCAGGGCTTCCAGAGTCAGAATTAGAGATTTAGTAGGGAGGAAAGGGAAGAAAGGGAGGAAGGGAGATGTAGACCAGCAGTAGGCAGGGAGGAGAAAAGCAGAGGGGGGTGAGGGAGTGAGACTTTGGGGGAGGCAGTCACTCGGCGTTTGAACAACCTCAGTCATACGGTTTTTTTGTTACTTCAGATGATGACCCTGCCAAGAGAAATTGATTGTGGGAGATACTCTGTGGATTCCTTACAGCTTCTGACAGTCCTTGTGGCTGAGTGCCACAGTCTCCTAAGCGTGTCCCCACTATGCTGACTTTGAATGGGATCAACTTTTGTCCTGTGGGTTTCCTCCTTTTTGTCTCTAGTACTAATGGCAGCATTTGTGGGACACCCACCAGCTCCCCTTTCCCCTTTACCACACACACACCACACACACATGCACACACACACGCTTGTTCTGCCCAAAGCTCTGGTTAGCAGCCCTAAATTCTTTACTGCTGTTTACATTGTATCTTTTTTTTTTTTAAACCAGGCCTTGACCAATTTTCCCAGGGGGCATATGGGGACCAGGAGGAGGGGACTCTGGGTGGCAACCACTAAGCGTGACCACATGGTGCTAGGGGTTGGTAGCTGTCCTCAGGCTGGACCAGCTGTGTCTTGCTCCACTGGGCCCATTATGTGCTACTTTGTGAATGCACCATTTCACTTGGATTTCGTGAAATTTGCCTCCTGAATTCAGATGTGTCCTGAAAGGGATGCAATATATCCTGTTCCTTGTGATTTCCTCAACCAATGACAGTTCTGAAGGGCACAGTAAGAAAAAAGGCTTATGGGGACTTCACTCCTGCCTGGATTTATTTGTATGAAGAGGCCATTGGTGTCCAGTCATGATATCATCTCATTTTTTCAACCTTCCCTGGGGTCCCATGCACGACAACCGAGGTCCAAGGCTTGGATAGGATGGCTACTTCCCTCCATGGGGTCCGTCATATCAGGTAGGAGGGTGGCAGGTTCCATCAGCAAGGTATCCGGTAAGAGGGTAGGGCTAAGACAGATCCGCCCGGACACTCTAAATATGTGGCCTGCAAGATTTTAGTTTACCGTGAACAGAATTAAAAACACACACAGAGATAAGTAACAACATGAGTTTATGTTAAATATCAAATGAGTAGTATAGATTAGTGGTTTTCAAACCGGAATTCACATAAGAATCTTTTGGGAGCCTTTCACAAGTACAGGCATCACCCAGACCTACTGAATTAGAGTCTCAGAGGTGGGAGGAGCAGTGAGAGGGAGTGTATAATTTTGAACACACTCTGGATGATTCAGATGCGACCATCCTGGACCTAGACTGTGGTCTTGTAACTGGGACCCACTCACATAGTCTGGTGCTACTGGAAGTCTTTGGAAGGGGGATCCCTGAAGTCTGAGGTATACCAGGAAGCATTCTGAAGAAACTGGGTGGGTCTGTTAGGGCATCAAAGCTGATCAAGATCGAAGCATTAGGGGCAAGATGGGGGTTTGAATTGTGAGCATTTGATCCTAGAAAAAAAAGAATCAAAGAGATTATGGAGGACTTGGTGGGCTTCCTAAGAAAGAAATTGGGAGAAATCAATGATCAGAAGACCCTGATGGAAGTGGGGAAGGTCATCTTAGGCAAGGCTTTTGTTTCCTCCTAACAGAAACCCTTGTAACATGCTCAAATGCGAAGTAGAGAACATTTACAATATAAACTTGGGGTAGTGCACACAACCCAAGTGTGAGTTTTAGCCAGGCCTCACAGGAACCAGACTCGGAGCCCCCCTGGTGCTCTCTGGGCCTCGTGGTCTGGGATATCTCCAGATCCCTCTTCCTGTTATCCATATTCTCTCTCTTTCTGTGGACGGACTGTCCTTTTCAGCAAACATGTTCGCCCTACAGCTCCTGAGTTTATATCACCTCAGCTTTCACCGCCCACAGAGACTGTGTCTTCTGGTCACAGTTTTAAGTTCTTAGGAAAATAAACTAACCAAACTGGGAGGAGATGTCCATCTAAGCCCTAAGTTCTTAGAGCAGGGGACAAGCTCCCATAGCACAAATGTAGCTGCTGACCCCTGGGGCAAGGGATCTGGTTGTTCTGAGAGAAAGAGAAATGGGTTGGTTCTCAGAAGACACCACAAGATATGTCTGTCCTCAACACTGCTGATCTCTGCTGATCTTTTGCTGTAAAGTTAACTTTTTGCATCATTGGAAAGTTGTTTCTCTGATCTCTGTCCTAAGGCTAACAGAGTCATTAAAAGTGTCTTGTTCTGACCAAAAGAAGTGTGCTGTTTTTTCATTATGCATAAATTCCAGAATTCACTGGAATTTCTAGGAATAATTCCAAATCTTGTAGATTTATGTATCTTCCTTTATACTTACATTTTTTTCCTTCTAGTCTCTAGGTAAATAGTCTTTCATTTAAATACAACAGCAACAACAAATCTGTCCTGCATTCTTTATCTGATTCTCCTCCCTCTCTTTTAGACTCTTTTTTGTAACTTTTAACACACTCTGGATGATTCTGATGTGACCATCCTGGACCTAGGCTGTGGTCTGGTAACTGGGACTCACTGACATAGTCTGATGTTACTGGAAGTCTTTGCAAGCAGGGATCCCTGAAGTCTGAAGATGTTTAATAGTCACCCTCTCTCCTATGTATGCAGGATCCTTCTACAGGTAATAAACATGTCATCCCTCCCACATAATGAGAACATCAAATCCCCCCTCTGTCCTCTAACCCAGCTTTCCCTCACCCAAGTTCCTTCCAGTCATGCTCTCTGAAAGAGTGTTCTGCATGGGCTGCCTCCAGATCTATTTTTCTGATATACTTTCTCTTTCAATTTTAGTTTTTAACAAAATGGTGCTATGCACATAGTTTAAGGGTCAAATAGTTATGCAAGATTTGCTACAGAAATGACAACCATCAGCCCCTTTTCCTACCATGTCCTTTCCTCATAGGCAAGAGCTTTAGCTCTTTTTTTTTTTTTTGAGTTGGAGTCTCACTCTGTCACCCAGGCTGAAGTGCCGTGGAACACTCACAGCCACCACAGCCTCGACCTGCTGCGCTCAGGTGATCCTTCCACCTCAGCCTTCCAAGTAGCTGGAACTACAGGCATGCACTACCACGCCTGGTTAATTTTTTTAAAATTTATTGTAGAGATGAGGTCTCACCTCATCTCTACAATAGTTGAGATTGTAGAGTTGCCCGGGCGGGTCTTGAACCCGCAGGCTCAGGCAATCCACTCACCTCAGTCCCAAAGCGCGGGATTACAGGCTGAGCTCTTTCAATGGATTCTGTTGGTATTGACCTCCCATCTCTAGATAACATGTTTGTGTTGCTACATCTAGATTTTTCTGCTTTAGGCTTTATCACTTTACCTCCCACTGTGAAAGAGGAGGGTTTAGATGTTTTTTCATTCTCTGGTTTTTTTTTTTGTTTTTTGTTTTTGAGTTGGAATCTCACTCTGTTGCCCAGACTGGAGTGCAGTGGCCGCTCC